TTGTCGGGGCAGGACCACAATTACAGTAACACTGCCGGCTGGCAGTTTAGGCAAGTGTTGATCTATGTTGGTATTAAGGAATTTTTAACATGCTTGCTGCTGGAAATTTCTAGTGATCATGGCGTCATTCAAATCGACAAATTTCAGGCAACAAAGTACTTGTTGAAATTTGTTGAAATCTGATTTTCTCGCTAAGTTATTAGCCGAAATGTGTTATTGTGATAAATTTTTTGGTTTACTGGTTTTCTTACTTTACGAGTAAATATAACTTTCTTTTGTCCATCTCCCTACAATTTTTCTTTCATTTTTTAGTTCTGTAAAGTGTTAGCATGAACATAAAAAATTTTTACAAAAATCTAATCCGCAACTTTTTTAAAAATGTACCTTGTAAAGTAGGGTTCACTTGAGTTTGGTTAGTGTATTTTTTCTGTCTAAAACAAGGAAAAAGTTTAAATACAGTGAAAAAAAAGAGACTATCAAATACCAGTGTGGCAAAACAAATAATAAGACTTATTTTTATTACATAGATAATAAGTTTTTATCCAAATAATAGGGTTTTTTATAGTAGTAAGTTCTTTTTTTTTTCAAATGGTTGAATTCTTTTTTTTTTTCAAATATTAGATTTCTTTTTTCTAAGTAATAAGTTTCTTTTATGTAAAAAACAACGTCCCTGAGTCACAGAATTTCGGGTGTCAAAAGAATCCAATAACCAAGGAACTGTCCAACACTAGAAACTTTGCGACTTCGGAATGCTATTTTTTTTTTACTTAAAAAGAAGAAACGTATTACTTAAATAGAATCTAATCATTTAAGAAAAAAAAGAACTTACTCAAGAAAACCCTGTTACTTGAGTGAGAACTTATTATTCGGTTAGTGGAGTATTCTGACACCCGACATCTTCCACTGTCGTAGTTGTTTGGCAGGCGTCATCCCAGGTCATATAGTTCTGCCAGGGTACGCCACGTTGTGGCTCCTCCATTCGCTTTATTTTTCTTGCTAGCTGTAGGAATCTTATTCCTTTCAGTCTTCTCCTTTTCCTTTTCGTATAAACTAGTTAGACATAGAATACATTTCTACTTTTTCTCCTCATCATTACTTCTAGTTTTAGTTTAGTATTTGCTACTTTTTACTAGTATTTTTTAGTTTTCTTAGCTACTAAGCAACTGCATTTTTTTGCCGTGCCATTTCAAAGCCGCCTTTCTCAATTTCAACAAATTAGATTTTTCTCCTTTCTATAATTTTTTAAAGTAATTTGAATGTAGATTACAGTGAACAAAAAAAGAACAAAGGTAGATGGACACTTAACAAAGTTATTGCAGTAAAACTGTTAAGAAGTATGTGTGATAAATTGAAATTACTCTCACCTTTCGCCTAATATCTCAAGTGAAAATGGAAATTACGAAATGAAATCGCAAACAAAAACAGATAAGACCTTAAAAAACAATATGCGAAAGCTCCAAAATCATTTACGGGAGTCACTTGGAAGTTTAGCATACTTTCCTGGAGTTCATTCGGTTCATTTCCGGATGCCTTTATATTACACAGTGGCATTGCGCCAAATCCGCTGGAATTTGGCCATAACTTAGAGATTTCGCTAGCAAAAAATTTCACACCAAATCAAAGTTGAAGACGGCGATATATATAAATTTAAATTTATATTTATACTTATATATATTTATATAACTGTATTTATGTATAAGACATATAGAACAAACCACAGAAAAGAAATACACCTACACACAAACACGTATACAGATGTCCATCAACTAAACACAAAGGCCATTTTCGTATTTAAGCAGATCAAAGTACAATACAATGTATAAAACTGAGACAGACATTCACACACCAACACGCAAACACTACGGACACAAATGCAGACCACGGAGACAAACACACACAGCACAAATCGCGAAAGGATATTTAAGGGTAATAAATATTCTTGTCCTACAACGAATAACTGAACATCAAAATTGGCAATTTGTCAAAATTTTATTCATTTTTAGATTCATTACGGTGTTTATGTATGTGTGTTGTCTGCGTGTCCCCAAATGATGTGTTGTGTGTGTCTGTGTCTGTGTGAGTGAGTGAATGTGTGTGTGCGTGTGAACGTGTGAGTGGGTGAATGTGTGTGTTTGTTGAACACGTTGTTTAGTAAAAGACTGCCTTTTTTTTCTTCAACCCTTTTCCTTATTGATGTTAAATTGCTTTAGTTTTTTTTTGGTTAATCAACTAAACTGTAGTCTGGTTTTTTTTCTGATTGCTTTTTTTTATTGGTGTATTGTTGTTATCACTGGTATAAAATTCTGTGAAAAAAAAAAGTGAAGAAAAGGAACTGGGGAAGAAGTGTTCATTTTTTTTAAATGTTATTTAGGCTGGAATATGTCACTAACAACC